CGGCCCTCACTGCATAGGATGGGATCTGACTCCTCAGCTAGTGGTAGTCAAGAGTCTTGTGCAGAGCCCTGAGCTTCCAGAAACAAGCTGAGGCCTGGTCCACTGGGGAGCACTGTAGGACTGGGTAAGATAGGTTTCTCAGCTCCCTGTCTCCCTTGTGGTGTATTGAGGGAGGATATAGAACCTGCTCTGAGAGATGTGGCATAAACTGTGGCATGTCTAACAGTTTCTGATCATCTCCACTGCCACTGTGAGTTTGGGAGGACTGGCACTCTTTCTGTTTCCCTGAGGTTGTTGGGTAAGTGTGGGGCTCCTGAGGTCTCCTTTCACCTGGGGCTTGTGGTATCTAGATGACCCCAGTGTAGGGACCAGCCCTACGAGGCTTCATCTGATGCCCCTCCTGCTTGTGGTTAAACGGTATGTCCTTCCTGGAATAACCTCAGCTATAGCCTGTCAGTTTCAGGTGTAGTTGGTTGGTGGTTTTGTTCTGATCATTAGGTGGTGCCAGAGACATCTCCTAGAAAGCTCTCTGAACTATGCTAATTCCCTCAGGTTTCTGGGAAACAGAAGAGGGGGAGGGGAGTTCCACAACGACAGGGCTCACACCCAGCTCTGTGCCTGCCATTCTGCCCCTGTTTCCCCACCTGTCACTTTCCAGAGTTTTCAGGAGTCTCAGGATTCTCCCTTGGACTCCATACTTTTTCACCTTCTTTTCTTTTCCTGTGTGATTGAGGGTGGGGAGAAGGATCCATGATTTTCTTTCCTCCCTTACCCTGTTGTTTTAACTTTCCCTCTGCTTCTATTGGGTCACCAATTTTGTCCAACACATTTGGGACACTCCAGGAACTCATGTTATTTCTCTCTATCAATTATATTTATTTGACAGTTTAACCTGGTGTCCCTTCATCATCATGTTGGTGACTGACTTTTTAATATTGTTTAAAAATCTGTGTTCTTGAGGCCTCCCTGGTGGTGCAAGGGTTAAGAGGCAACCTATGAAGTTATCCACAGCCACTGCAGCGCGAGTTCTATTCCCAACTAGCCAGGGAGCTACCCACATGGTGCGGCAGACCTTTCCTGGCTCACCCGTTGCTCCCCTCGGAGTGTACTTTGGTTAATCTGCCTGTTCTGTTTGCCACTCTGTCTCTGGTGAATCCTCTCACCCCCTAGCACCTCTGACCTGTACCCCAGCTCTTGTATGCATAAATAAATAAATCTTTAAAAAATTAAAAAACAAAAAACAAATCTGTGTTATTTGTAATGTGTCGTCAGTGAAGACTGTTCCTTTCACTGGTGTTGCTAATGTTTTGGCAGAGATTTTATTGAACACCAGAAGCCCAAATAAATGATAATCAAACAGATGTGTGGTCTCTCTGTGTGTATGTGTTTGTGCATGTATTTCGTGAAAATGTCACCCGAAAGTAGTACATTAACTGTGATGGTGGACTATCATTGTACTTTAGCCTTCACTTTCTTCTTGCACTGAGAATACAGATCCAGAGGAGAACATTTAGAATCTTCTTAATCTTTTCTTAGCATGTCTCCTGCCCTGAGCACTGGCATGGATTTCTAGCTTTGTCTTATACGCAGGCATTTTCAAATGACTTAATTTCCCAAAGTAATTCTCTCCAGTTTTTGCTTCGAGGCATTGAGTGTTCTACTGTTTGCCTCAACTATAATCTTTTGCCCCAAGTCACTGTAGTTTGTTCATTTGCTTTGTAAGTTGATCAAGAAAAACCTGTTGCTTTTCTCTTCTAACTCTGAGTTGGGCAAGACAAACCAAACATTTTGTGTCATCACTCTTTTAGTCAGCCACCAAAAGTTTGGAGAGAAAAGCACATTTCTATGAGAATAAAGTCTGGTCTGCTTCTTTTAGATTGAGGGACTAGAACTCTGCACTGGGGATGTGGGCTTTCATCTTGAAGTCCACTACTGAATTTGAGAGTAATGTTATAGAAGCAAGTCAAATATTACAGGGTTTGCAGCAAAGCCATTTTTGAGTTTTCTTTTGAGTTAGCATTCACTTGGCTGCTATAAACCTTTGACTGTTTCCTAGAGTTCTGGTAAAATTCTCAAAGCTTCTACTGATTGTTATTGTGACTGAGGGGAGTGCACTGAAGATGGATGCCATTCTCATTTGGATCATTTTGATATCTTGTATGTTTCTCTTCTGAATACTGACTTTTTCCTATAAATTCTTCTTCTAAGAACTTTTGTAAGTTCATTTATACTAATTCTATTATCTCTGTTATTTCCATGTCTTTTTTCTATTAACTGACTTTTCTCCTGCTTATGGAAAACAATGTGTTGCTCCTTTCATGTGGAGTGATAATCTATTCCATGCAAACATCACTAATGTAACACTGTTGCATGCAAGGGTTTATAGTCTTACTTTAATCAATGATGGAATTTACTTTGTGAGACAGTTTAAATATTGCTCATCAGTTGAGTCTTTCCAGATTTTATCTTCTGTCTTTTTACAGTTAAGCTCTAAGATAGCCTTTACTACAGAAAAAATTAAATTCTGGTTCAAGAGTTCATGATTCTTCTAATTCTCTAATGTGTGCAAAAAGAAATCTCTTTTCTGACTAGTTGAATTTAGAGCTTCTACCAGATCTCTGTACTCTGAGAATTTTCACCCCACAGCTTCTCAGCTGCTAGTATTTTCTTGGCTTTGGTAAGTTCTTCTGTATACATTGGTCTTCAGCCAATTACTCAAGGTTATTCCTTTGAAGATTTATGCAACCTCTGTGTCTGTTTAACAACCCTCTTCTTGTGAGCTGTGTATCAACATTTCTAAAGCCTTCACTTCACCAAACTCTGATATCTGTCTCTTCAACACAGTTAGATACTTTCCCTGTATGTGGTCTAAAAGTGCCCTGAGATGGAATGTGCTAGTGGTGACAATGCTCACCTCATTTGTGTCTCTTCTCTCAGGAATCACACTGCTGGATACCTAATCTTCAAAGTCTCAATATTGATTTAAATATATATATTATAGCTGTTTTTCTAGTTATTTATGGCAAGTACAGAATTCTGATTTTAGTTTTTTTCTCATTGGCAGTGTGGAAGTTCTTCATTTACTAACATTCACATTTTTTTTTCCTGAAGCTATTTGGAGGTGATTGATTTTTAAAATAAATAAAATAGAAGGTTTGAAGATCTTAAACTACACATAATTTCAATATTATTCAGTTATTAATAACATTTATATTGTTTTGAGTTTATTCACTTTTTCCTTCTAAAAATATACATAATCAGTTTTTATATATCATTATAGAAACAAAGAGGTATTCTCAGCATACTCTAAATATTATGCTGAAGTTACATTTCAAATTTATTAATTATAAATTTTACGATAAGACAGAGGTGGTTATAATCCTGAAACTCTTGATTTCCTATGCAGGTGTAACTCAAAATTCTATAAATTTAAACTGGGGTTAACAGAAAGAGCACATCCAAGTCACAAGTGTTCCTTAATTCTTGGTAGAATGATGTCCCAAAATCAATAGGTAATCCCTCAACCAAATGAACTGCTCTATTCTATTTGCTACACATGTGAATGGAACTCTTTCATGAAATCATAAATTTTTCTGCTCCTAATGCTGACATGCTTGAAAAATTATATCATTTATTGCAGAGTATTTCATTAGACTCTATAGTGTTGTCTGAGTTTCCAGCTGGCAAATAGTTTTTTTCCCTTATCAATCACTTCACTATACACATAACACATATACACACATCTATATATTTTCTAATCTATTTGTGTAGAAGACATTTTGCCAATAGAAATATTCTGCAAAACTCTACTTTTGAAACATACCATTGGCTGCTGGTAAAGTCATACTCCTGACATGATCTGGAATATGCCTTCTTCCTGAACCCCCTTTGGTCCCTCTTTCTCCTCTGTTATGAAATTTTAGCCATTTTGCCTATTTCTTGAACATGCCAAGTTGTTGCATCCTTTGTAATCTGTACCTGCTTCTGCTCTATCCTTTTTACAAAAATACACTTTTCTCTTCAGTGAGGTTTCATTAAAAGTCTCTTCTTCAAGGAGATCTACCAGTGTTGCCCTAACAGCACATATTTTCCATCATAATCATATGCTGAGGAATGAATTAATGAACACATTATATTCTGTGTGTCGTGGATTATCTTCTTTATTGTGTAGGAGTTTCTTGGGACAATAAAGTTTTTCCTGTTGTTTAATTCAAAATGTATAAGGAGGAAATTAAAAACATAGAACTTACATCCTTGATTAAATGCCAACTCAAATAATTCAAAGAAAGTTTTAAATACTGCACATATATTTGGTATACAGAAAAACTGATGACTTTTAGGTAAGATTGTATAAATATAGTATATTCATCTAGATAGTCTTAGTCTAATCCTCTTATCACCAGACCAAATACTTTTATCACCTTGTTGGCTTAGCCCTTTGCTGGAGCTTCCTTACTGAATTCATGTTTGATATAATATTGACCTTTAATAAGCCCTTAAAAAATGAAAAAGTTCTTTAGTTGTATATTGTAGTCATGATTTTTGTCACACTGTTTAGTATTTCCTATGTTAATTTCCCCAAGAAAAATATTCTTTAAAGTGAGATAAATAGGAGAAAAGACTTTGTCTAATCAACAGGAATTTGGTATGGTTTTTATCTGATGCGACAGTCGTATATATCATGATTTCATTTTTTTTATTGGCCTAGTTCACAAAACTAAAATATTGATGTTCAATCCCAGAATGAAATTAAACATTAACATTTGGTATTTTATATTCCATATTTGTTGTTTCACATTTTAAAGCTATTATGTGTGCATTTATTAGTAATCTCAGTATAAAATTTCAGATATTTATTCAGAAGTATATCTGTATAAAGCTTTATCAATAACTACATCTATATTCCACCTCACTTGAAATTATTTTTAAATGGTTGGGTTATAAACACAACATACATATATATCATTATAATGAATAAGTTATTCTTAAAATTATATTAATTATGAAGATGTTTTTCTCTTTAAGAGTTTTATTACGGCATTTTGGACTTCCTTATTCCTCAGACTATAAATCAGGGGGTTCAGCATGGGATTCACAATGGTATAAAATACAGACGTCACTTTCTCCTGGATGGCTGAACTGCTAGAAGCAGGTTTGAGGTATATAGACATGAGAGACCCATAGAAAATAAGAACAGCTGTTAAGTGGGAGCCACAGGTGCTGAAAGCTTTGGCCCTGCCCTCTTTAGATTGGATGCGGAGGATGCTGGAAATTATGAAAATATATGAAATGATGATTGTCACACTGGTGGTTATCATGTTAAATCCACCAAAAACAAAAATCAAAAGTTCCTCAATATATGTGCTGGAGCAGGAGAGTTTCATAAGGGGGACGATGTCACAGTAATAATGTTTAATTTTAATGATATTTGATCCACAGAAATTCAAACTTAGCAAACAACCCTCAAAAACCATGCCAAGGGTAAGACCTACTGAGAAGACAGCAGCCACCAAGAGCGAACAGACCCGACGGGACATGATGACATTGTAGAGCAGGGGGCTGCAGATGGCGACATAGCGGTCATAGGCCATTGCTGCCAACATGTAGCACTCACAAACAGCACACACACAGAATAAAAAAAACTGAATATTGCATCCAGCATAAGAGATAGATTTATCTCTGCTTAAAATCCCTACCAGCATATTGGGGATAATAACAGAAGAATAGCAGAAATCTATGAAAGATAAACTGCTGAGAAAATAGTACATGGGAATGTGAAGTTGAGAACTCAGTGCAATTATGGAGATCATGCCGAGATTTCCCACGATGGTAGCAATGTAAATCCCCAAGAAGAGGAAGAAAAGGGGCAGCTGAAGCTCTGGTTGGTCAGTCAATCCTGAAAGAACAAACTCGGTCACTGTGGACTGATTTCTTATCCCCATTCTCCTGTGGAAATCTGTGGAGATCAAAGAGCAAAGAATCCAATTAGACAGGCAGAGACCCAGCTCAGCTCCCATTCCCATATCCAGGTTCTACATTTCTTTGCACCTGCTTCTAGATTAAACAGCAAGCGTGTGGCTACCTATACATTTAGGAACCATGCGTAAACGTTCATACTCAGTCCAGTATCTCAGATTCTTTTAGCAAAGTATAAAACCTTTAAGTCCATTGTTAGAAAGAAGACTACTGCTAAAGACCCAGGAGGAGGCTTTCCAAAGCAAATCAGCTCAGGATGGGCATAAAGAAAGGGCAGTGGGCTGAGAAAATACCTCCGCTGAGGACACACTTACCTAGGTGTGATCTCATTCTAGTATTTTAACAGAGAAGCTGCCTCTTGTTAAGGCCCATAATGATTTCTGGGTTAGGTTTCTGGTGCATTCAACAGGGTATTTATTCTGGGGCTTTAATAATAGTTGTACATGAAATAGGTATCCCAGGATCCTGTGATTTCATACATGCAGCTTTAAACAAGTTTCTTAACTGGAGGATATTTCAGAACCTCCAAAACAACTATAAAACACTCAATAATTTCAAATTTGAAAAAAGTGTCTCCGAGCATTATATTGCTCAGTACTAATGAGAAAACTGAGTTTTCATACTGAATGTCTCTGATTTAATCTAATCCTAAACTTACTGCCTGGTCATAAGCTTGTTCATGCACTTCAGTAGCTGCGTGGTAGAATGGCAGCCTCCCCAGCCTGTGTCTGCTCTTGAACTCTATGACTGTTTTCTGGGCTCACTTGAGATCTCTCTGGAAACCTCTGAGCTGGATTTAGTGCACTCCTGTAGCGCTGCCACTTTTGGCAAAGCAGCATCCCAGGTATTTTTGTTCCACCGTAGGGTTCTTGTAGCATCCAGTTTCACCCAGAATTCTCCCAGACTTGGGTGGAGATGACGCATGTGGGGCTGCCTGTTCTGGGTTCAATCTTGTTATGATTTCTGAAAAGCTGACAGGTCTTTTTCTTTTTCCCAATGATGGACTACCTCCCGAACCTCTCTAGTCTCTCTCTCTATGTCTCTCTTTTCCTATTTTTCCCAGTGATTATAAGGAGCGCCACTGAGACAGCTGCTTTAGTGAATTCGCCAGCCCAGGATCACCTGTCTCCAGGCTTTTCAAGAAGCTATTCATGTCTTCCAGCTTCCAGTCTGTTACTGTTGTATAGGACACACTTCCTCTGGGCCACTGGAGTTCCCAACGATGTTGGTGCCTCCTCCTGATTCCCCAAGTCAGTTTAAACAAGGAAGTTTCCTAATACAGCACATGTCTTATCTGAGCAAGTTCCAATTCTGTGGAAGCCTTCACTCTCCTATCTGCTCTTTTTTTTTTTTTTCCTTATCCTGAGGGATGAAGCTAGAGGAATTATGTGCAAAAGATTGATACCCCAGTGTGCTTGGAGTGCTAGTGCCATACTCTGGAGTCCTCTTTTCTCTCGTCCTTGCCAAATAGCATGCACAGGTGCAGTCCAGTCACAGAGTCCCCACAGAGAAGTATCAAAGATATCTTCAAGTAGGCTGTGTAGTCACCATTAATCTGTTTCATCATGCTTTCACAGTGTCCTTAGTGTTGCAGACTATATCTACTCTCATCAAGTGTCTAATTCCATGCATTTCCCTGTATTTTTTTTTAATCCTATGTCCACCTCTGTCTGACTTCTATCCAAGCCAGCTACTTCTTTTTCCTACTTTATATACAAACCTGTATACTAGGTCCTTGCTACTTAATATGCTGTCCAACAACTGGTCCCACCACCATCACTGGAAGGATGTGAGATGCATGATGTCATGTCCTAATCCACAGAACTGACTTAGAATCTGCAATTTAACAATCTCTAGACACGATGTGTTTGTAGACAGAGTGTGAGAAATACTATCTGGCTAATTTCCTTAACAAAGTTGGAGTCTCAAAATAGTATTGCGAAAGAGAACTAAATTGTGCATAAATGAATAATTTAAATTTTTCTGGAAGCCCTTTTTTTAAAAAATAAAAGCACACAGTTGAAGTCAATTTTAATGCTATAATTTATTCACTTGGTAAATCCAAATCACCTCATTTTAAAAAGTAAGAATATCAAGTTATAGCTGGGTGTTTCACATTCTTTAAAAAAATTTGGATTTCATAACTTATTTTATGCTTAAGCAATTCTAAAATCAAAGGAACCACATTTCAAATGCTCAGTAGTCTCATGTACATATATGGCTATACATTGAATAGCACAGGTGTAGAATAATTTTTTTCTTTACTCTGATTTCATTGTCAAAACTCAATTTCCACTTTTTAATGGAGAAAAAAATTAACAGACGTGGTGGACAGAATACTGAACCATAAATCATTACATTTAGTTTCAACACCAACTCTAGGATTTACAGTTTAGCATTTGACTCATCTGAGTGTCTCTCTGAGCTTCATGCATTAATCAGCAAGAAAATAGACACTTCAAGGATTATTGTACAAATTAAATAAGACAGTTAAGTTTGAACACAATTTGTGCATCGCGAGGTCTGCATAAATATATTTTTAGTATTACAATTCTACTTTCAGGGCTATTGATTTCACAGATTAATTCACAGATTAGCCTCTAGGACCCTTAGACAAGGTGAGTGGACAACGCACACTAAGTCTGGATGGACGTCCCAGGCCAGCTCCCTGTAGACCTAGGCTCAGTGACCTGTAAACACACAGAAGCCTTTGTGTTCATGTGGACAATCAGAGTTGATTGCAGAGCATGTCTTTAACACCTATGCAGTATGGGCATCATACCTCTGAAACTCACCTTCCCCTTCTGAAGACTTAGCTGAGTATTGCTTCTCGTAGTCTCATCCTGTTAGGAATATAATAGATTAATTATATAATCTCATCCTGTTAGGAATATAATAGATTAATTATACTTTTCTTCCTTCAGCATATAAACAACCATACAAACAAGAATAAGGTTTAATTGTAACTTTGACTTCTCTAATCACACAAACATTTTATCTCTGGAAATAAAAGGACAAGGAGTTCCCAAGTGTTTCTTATCTCCTGAGGTTTAACAGCCTATAGAGTTGTAAGAATTGTCATTTGCTGGGCCTCCCTGGTGGCACAAGGGGTTAAGATGCAACCTATGAAACTGTCTGCAACCAGGGCAGCACAAGTTTGATCCCCAGCAAGGGAGCTACCCACATGGTGCAGGAGACCTCTCTTGTCTTGCCTGCTGCTCCCCTCAGCAATGTATTTCAGTCAATCTGCCTGTTCTGTTCCCCACTCTGTCGCTGGTGAATCATTTCACGCCCCCACATCTCTGGCCTGTACCCCAGTTCTTGTATGCATAAATAAATAAATCTTTTTTAAAAAAAGAGTTGTCATTTGCTGGTTTATCAAACTCATTTTAATATAAGGAAACCTAGCCATGTAATGTAGTCACTTTTCCAGAGTTATGCAGTAGGTATAATCCAAGTTTAGAATATGTTTAGACTGTGACAATTAGGAGAATAAATGAGAAAAAGAATATTAAGAATATTAATTTTCTCATGGAAAGTGTTATTAACAATAGAGGTTGTTTCCAGTTTTATGTATTTTTAAAGGATAAGAGATGGAATCTTTTATTTATCTATCAACTCTATTTTAGATGTCTATTTTGATGGTCACTCAGAGATGAATCAACACTATTCATCAAAATTGCAATCTAGTGGCAGGTTATTGCCCAACACACACCTCAAACAAATTGAATGAATGAGCACCATGGCCTCTATGGAATAAGTATAAGGAATTATGCATAAGAGATGGAGCAGATCACTGTTCTCCACAGTGTGTGTGAAAGACAGTCTTTTGGAATAATAGTTTTAATTTCATGTATTTATTAAAATTAATTAATTGATTTTTAATTGAAGTAATTGTTGGATAAGCCCTTCAGGTATTGCAAGCATAGGGACATCAGTCACCCATAGTCCACCGTTCTAATCCCCTGTGCTTGCTTTTCTCTTTATTCTTACCTTACCCCATTTTCCTCTTCTGGTGCATCAGTTCTTTTTTTTTTTTTTAAATAATAAATTTTATTTTTATATTCCCCCATACAATTGCAAAAGCCCCATTCTGACCCCAATCCTTCCCTTCCCGCCCCCCATCCCCCAAAAAGTGTCTCTGGTTCATAGTTTTTTGTTGATTTTGATTTTCACTTTCTTATATTCATTTTCCTGGTCCCTTATTTAAGTTTTCTAGATTCCTGCTATGAGTGAGACCATCCGGTATTTTTCTTTTTCTTTTTGGCTTATTTCACTGAGCATGATCCCTTCCAGCGCCATCCATGTTGCTGCAAATTGCATGTGTTTATCTTTTTTGAATGCTGAGTAATATTCCATGGTATATATGTACCACATCTTCTTGATCCAGTCATCTATTTTTGGGCATTTGGGTTGTTTCCAAAGCTTAGCTATTGTAAACAGTGCTGCTATAAACATAGGGGTGCAGGTGTTCTTTGGAATTGATGTTTCTGTGTCCTTTGGGTAAATACCTAGGAGTGGAATTGCTGGATCATATGGAAGCTCTGTGTTTAGTAGGTCCAGAAATCTCCACACAGCTCTCCCTAGTGGTTGGACCAGTTTGCACTCCCACCAACAGTGCAGAAGAGTTCCTTTTTCTCCACACCCTCGCCAACATTTGTTGTTGCTAGTTTTTTTAATATGTGCCATTCTCACTGGTGTGAGATGGTATCTCATGGTAGTTTTGATTTGCATTTCCCTGATTACAAGTGATGTTGAACATTTTTTCATATGTCTGTTGGCCATTTGCATTTCCTCTTCAGAGAAGTTTCTTTTTAGCTCTTCTGCCCATTTTTTGACTGGATTATTTTCTTTGTTGTTGCTGAGTCTCATCAGCTCTTTGCAGATTTTTGTGATCAAGGAACCCACCTGAATGTCAAAAAACAGATAGCGGCTATATACACAATTAGAGCAAAGAAAATGATAAACTCTACATGGATAGAGCTGGAAGGGATAATGCTAAGTGGAACAAGCCAAAAGGAGAAAGATAAATAATGGATGGTGTCACTACTATGTGGACTATAGAATGTTTAGAGTATAGAATAGCTATATTTAGAACTATATTTAGAATATAGAATACCTAAGAGTCAGATAAACAAGCTTAAAAACTCACCCTTGAATGACTATAGAACTGATGCACCAGATCACAAAAAACTCACCCTTGAATGACTATAGAACTGATACACCAGATTTTTGTTGTTAATGGCTTTTTAAATGTTATGTTCTATTTATCCCCTGTTTTTTGAGGTTTTAATCATAAATGGGTGTTGAAACTTTTCAAATGATTTCATAGTATCAGTGCTATAATCATGTTATTATCTTCCTTTTTGTTTATATGGTGAATTATGATGGCTGATTTTCAGATGTTGAACCACACTTATGTCCCTGGTATAAAACCCACATCATCATGATACATGATTCTTTTAAGGAATATTTGCATTTGGTTTGCAAGGATTTTGTTGAGGATGTTTGCATCTGTGTTCCTTAGGGAAATTGGTCTGTAGTTTTCTTTTTGTGTGTTGTCTGTAGTTTTAACATTAGAGTAATCCTTGTCTCAAATTCACTTATGAAACCATCTGATTCTGGACTTTTTGGGGTACAGTTTGGATTACTGTTTCAATTTCCTTGCTTGTGATCATTTGGTTCATGATTTACACTTCTTTCATATGTAATTTGGATGATTTTATAATTCTAAGAATTTGTCATGTCTTATAGGATTTTCAATTTGTTAGTGAATGGATATTAAGCGTAGTCTCTGTCCATTGAATTTCTGCAATGTTAGTTACAATTTATCTTCTTTCTTTTTTTGATTCTATTTATTGGAAATTTCTCCATTATTTTCATGGTGAGCCTTCCTCAGGTTTTCTCTATTTTGTTTATTTTTTCATTGAGCCAAATTTGGTTTTGTAATCTTTTGGGCTGTCTTTTTATTTCTATTTCATTTATTTCTCCTTATCTTTTAAAAGCTTTTGTTCTACTGTCTAGTGGATCTGTTTCCTCTTCTTTTCCTAATTCCTTGAGACAATAGAATGTTCTTTATTTGGATGCTGTCTAGTTTTTTGATGTGGGCCTGTATTGTTATATATTTCCTCCTTACTACTGCTTTTGTTGAATCCCATAAGTTTTGGAATGGTGTGTCTTTGTTATCATTTGTGTTGAGGTAATTTTTGATTTCTTCATTGACCACTGTGGTCATTATCCATGTATTAAAGGATTTTCCTGCTTTTCTTTTAGATAATTGATTTCTTGTTTGATGCCTAGGTCCAAGAAGAGCTGGGAATGATTTCAATATTTGTGAACTCCTTGACATTTGTTTTCTTTTTAATTGCTTATTTTCTTACATCAATGTTCATTTTTGAACACTATTTAATTTCTCCCTCAGTGGTAGTCCTCAAGTTTCTCACACCACCACAGAACTTGTGAACCATCACCTTAATGCCTTGTGCTCTTCCCACCCCTGTTTTGGCTCCTCTCCTGCCCCCTCCCCTGTTGTATCTCTCAGATCTATGGTTTGCCTGCAAGATTTGTCTTTTTCCTGACCTTTTGTTGAGTTTCCCTATATTCCACCTATAAGTGACACATTGATATTTTTTCTTTTTCCTTCTGACTTACTTTCCTTAACATAACCCCTTCTAACTCCATCCATGTTGCTGCAAATGTCATGAGTTTATGTGTAGTCAGTGAGGACACTATTCCTTTCACTAGTGCTGATAGTGTTTAGGAAGAGATATTTTTGAACATGAGGAGCCCAAATAAATAGATAATCACACAGATATGTGGTCTGTATGTGTATATGTGGTCTGTATGTGTATATGTGTTTGTGCATGTATTGTGTGAAAAATATCTCCCCAACTTTGTACATTAACTGTGATGGTGGACTACCACTGTGCTTTTGCATTCACTTTCTTCTTGCACTGAGAATACAGATCCAGGGGAGGAGAGGGGGCGGAGCAACATGGCGGCGAGGAGACGCTGCGAGTAAGATCTCCCATTAAAAAAAGTGAATAGGGAGGAAAAGCGGCAGGTCCCAGTGAGAACTGGGACACGGAAGATAAACGGGTGACTCCAGCAAACTGCCCAAAGAAGAAAGTGGCCATAAAAGAGGACCAGAAGGGAGGGAAGCGCAGAACCCTGCTCCCCTCCCCCGCCCACAGAGGCTGCACTCTCCGACCGGCAGAGGGGAGGAAACAACAAACCAAAACGGCCAACAAGAAAAACGGACGCAGCAAGCGGGACTGTGAGTGGAAAGGAACTATTTCAGCCACCACACCCCGTGAACGGGAGCTGTGGAGAACCCTGCAGGATTCCCCGCGGCGGTGAGCGAACGGCTCCGGGCGCCATTAGAGAAGAACAAAGACCCCGGGAGACGCGCACACAGCCCGGGCTGCCGGTAAGCTGGCGCGGATAGCGGCGCGCTCGGCGCGCTTGAAAAGCAAGTGCAGACCAGGATCGCGGCTGCCCAGGTCCCCGCGCCTGCGACCTAGGCTTGGGAGACGACCTAGGCTTGCTGGGAGGCGCGGAGGTCCTCACTGAGGTGAAGGTCCCTCCCTGAGTGAGCAGGAACCAGGCGCCCAGGCACGGGAGCGGTGCAAAAGGCGCCCTTCCCGCGCCACTGAACTGGGCTACAGCCCGCGTCCTGGAACTGAGGGCTTTGGAACTGAGACCCAGGGCACGAAATTAGGGGCGTGGGATCCCCACGACGGTGGGGCACAAGGCAGACACAGCACCCCAAAGCCGTTGAGGTGTACCCTACCATCCCCGCTTTGCTCCCT